TGCCACATTGCGCTCAACTGATGCGCAGATCCATGTATGTGGCGCATGCAGCAGAAACATAACAGAAATATCCCCCGACCTCACATTCACAACTTTGCCAAACAGTCCGCTGTGTGCCAGTAAGCAGAAGCGCATGTGTTTTGTGAACTCAAATCTGTGCAGCCAGTAACATTGCAGCTCTGCCTACCTTTTGGCTTTTTTACGTGATTTGACTTGGACTTCTGTGTAGCCCGCTTCAAAACTGCACACGGCAGTGGTATACACGCTTATAAAAAGTCCCTTTTACATCCTCTGTCTCCTTTGGAGTACTGCCACGTTGCTGTTAGAAGAGCGCATGGCTGAAAAGCACCCGTTGTGCCCTAACTCGTCCATGTTGTGGTGTTTCTTGGTCCGCCAGGCCTCAGCAGTGACAGCGGTTTAGGCAGCACCGACGGAAGCACCGACTTTCTGGTGATGGGGCCAATGGTGGACAGCGTGACGGAAGAAGGTGCGTCCTCGACTGAAATCACAGCAACTTGAACATCGGACGCATGTGACTTGATTTGACTCATCAATAACTCCTGGATGTTTTTTTCCCTCAGAATGTGAGGCATCCGAAGCCTCGAGCGGCGAGGCCGATCATGACACGTCGGACCCGGGGGACAGCGGGCACCTCCACCCCGGGGCGCTCCTGTACAGAGCAGCCAGAGCTCGCAACATCACCGTCATGGCCGAAGCGCTGGCGCACGGCGCCGACGTCAACATGGTTAATCAGGAGGACCAAGAGAAGACGCCCCTCATCCAGGCTGTGATTGGGGTGCGTACTCACTGCAACTCCGAGCGCTTGTGCGTTCGTCACCAGCTGGATGTTGAACCAAAAAATGACAAAAACAAGATGTAAACGTTTCCCACAAGGAACGGGCGGCTGAAGCAAAAAAAAAAAAAAAAGTTGCAAAAACTCATTTGTTCCACACTGTGTAATTCTATACATTTCATTTGGTAATCGCTCATGCATGTTTAAACTATGATTTGTATTGAAGTCTAAATGGTTTGTTTACAAATTGTGGTATACATTTGAATTTGGGATTAAATGATGGAAAATCTTTGATGATTCCCTCCCCCCATCATTGGAATGTTGTTTTGTTTTTGTTTATTAAAAATCCAAACCATTGGGCAGAATAATTCTTTTTGTTTTAAATCTGTAAATTCAATCAATTGTTATTATTTTTTTTTTCATTTCAAAAACTTTTTTCCTGAAATCATGGAGAAAAAAAGAAAATAATTTCTATATTATCTCCAGGGGTGTTCTGCTCAGGGTTTAATGCCGCCGATACCGATTGGCGGTGGTTCGCTGTATTTAGTCTCGTTTCTGTAAATCTTTGTAAAGGTCTGTCAACCATTGTTTGAAGGGTTCCTTGCTGGCCTGCGAGTTCCTGCTCCAAAACGCCGCTGATGTCAATCAAAGAGATGCGAGAGGGCGGGGCCCCCTGCATCACGCCACCTATCTGGGCCACACAGGGTGAGTCCAAATTTAGTGCTAGCCTGCTAGCGAGGCGGAATGCCTCGCTGGCGGAACACCATCACTTCTACTTGGCTCTTTGCCTGTGGAAAACCAAACACGTTCTTCCTAAGAACTTGTGAAGCACCAGCTAAGCGCAGCGCTGGCGCTGAATGAGCACCAAGTTTTTTGGGGGGGTGTGGAAAAGGGGTATCCTTCACCTCAGCTTGCCTGTGTGCTTTCAGGCAGGTGTGTTTATTCCTAAAACGAGGCGCCGCCCAGAACGACGGCGATGAGGATGGCCACGACCCGTTGAGCATTGCGGTGCAGCAAGCCAATGCTGACATCGTCACACTGTACGTTTTTTGGCTTTGTTTTGTTTGAAAGCCGACCCGTCTTGCAAGATTTGGGAGCGATGGAATGAATAGTGAATAGCCCCAAACCGGATTTCCATTTCTTTTATTCAACAATTAGTTGATTAATGAGTGTGTACATAATTGATTTGAACACTGGTCAACAAATGTTCACGACATTTTTTAGTCGGAGTGGTAAGTGAAATTATTAATTTTTTTCAGCCGATTCCAAATTTTCCCTGTTTTTATTTCTCTAGCACATCAAGTTTTAATAACAATGATATCAATGTAATACAGCATACTAATATTTATGAATTAAGGATTAGCTTCAGCAACAGGTGGAATTTTTTGGGGGGAAACAACATAGCTATAAATTACAATGCAGGGTATTATTGGTTTTGCACATGCTTTTACATTTTCAATTTTGAAACCAAAAAAAGAAAATATCTCAAAAACCTGATGTGCTTGAAAAAAAAGGTACGACTTTTTTTATCATACTTGAGGGACACATTAAGCCATCTCTGATTAAAATTAGCTGTTGACCAGTAATTAAAACTTCAAATGACCTATTTTACTTGCGCGCTTTGGTTTTGGCCCATCCGTCCTTTTTAAAACTCAAACGCAGCCCTCGAGCACAAAAAGTTTGCATTTCATTTCAGTTGTGCCTTTCATGTTAAATCCACTGCTGTTGTTGTTGTTGCTGCTGCTGCTTAGGTTGCGTCTGGCCAGGATGAACGAGGAGATGCGCGAGTCGGAAGGAGGCTTCGCCCAAGCAGGTCAAAGCAATGAGCGGCATTTCAAGCCGGCCATTCACAACTTGATGTGCTCAACTATCGCATGGTGCTAAGGTGCTGAGGTCATGCACGCATGCATGAGGTGCATGTGGAGGGGCTGCGAGGTTGTCGGGATCATTTGTAAAATGTTAAGTGTTCTGAACTTCTCTATCCACGATATTGCTTCACTTCCTCTAGCCTCACATTGCAATTGGCACTTTTTTTCCACTTTTTTTTCAGCATTTTTTTGGGGCAGGGGGGCTCTAGGCACACATTAATGCCATCTACATTCATGAAGGGTGATTTGAGACACCCGTGTTTTGAGTTACAGCCGTCACAGACGGATTAAACTCGTATCTCAAGCCACCAACCGTATGTATGTGTGTATTTTTGTAGGACAGCGGGTTTGCACAGGTCCCCCAAAACATACTTCTTGGAAGGGTTTTGGGGGAGAATCTCTAAACAGTGACTGGACAAAAACTCCGCCAATTTTTTTTCAGCATTTTTTTGGGGCAGGGGGGCTCTAGGCACACATTAATGCCATCTACATTCATGAAGGGTGATTTGAGACACCCGTGTTTTGAGTTACAGCCGTCACAGACGGATTAAACTCGTATCTCAAGCCACCAACCGTATGTATGTGTGTATTTTTGTAGGACAGCGGGTTTGCACAGGTCCCCCAAAACATACTTCTTGGAAGGGTTTTGGGGGAGAATCTCTAAACAGTGACTGGACAAAAACTCCGCCAAAGAATAATCATGCATACTCAACAGAAGTCATCCAGCGGTCAGAGGGTGCCTGGAAACGCTTCCTTTTGACATTGTAGGGCCTCTCTCATGTATCCCTTCTATTTGGATTTGGGAAGTGAAATGTCCTCATTTGACCGTGGCGACAGGAAACAGTGTGTGGACTATGCTGACGGGAATACAATGAAAGGAAACTCTTCTCTCTCCCACATTCAGACAGTCGGAGAGGTTCATTGTTTGTTTTTTAATTGAGCCTGAGAACACAGAGGTGACACAAAAGATACAGTGTGGTCGGACCGAGTCGTTGCCGTGACTACCGTTCGGTGTCGAGAAAAGGCTTTGGTGCTCATTAACATTCCGCTCCGCCGCCCCCATCCGGTGTTTGCATCCTCATCCTCGGCTGTGGTTCTTCCTCAGGAGACGCCACGTACCTGGACATCTTCCGAGAATTCTCACACATGGCGTCCCACAATCCCGAGAAGCTGAAGAGGAGGAGCGTGCACTTCAGGCACTCCTTCAGGTAGCCAAGCCAGGGGACCACCGATCTATCCGGACAAAAAAAAAAAAAAATCAACCCATGTTGTTTTTCTCCTATTCTTGTTTTTATGACACATACTTTTTGCTTGGTGCTTTCTTTTGTCCACAAGGATTTGCAGGTCTTATCCTCGGATGGATCTTTTTTTTTTTTGTTTTTACAAACGCCAAGCACTTGCTTTGGAAGTGCAGTCGACTGTTCTTCAAAATCAGTCATATTCCATTCAGCCTATTCGCTTACGGCAACCTAGACAGCAGGGATTTTTCAAACTTTTCGGGTCCCTTGACCACTAACAGAAGACATTTTCCACATAACTACCAAGTGTAAAGGGCTTCCTGTAAATTTCCATGGGGAGTTCAGATGGGAAATTTCCTTCTTTATTCCCATTCAAGGCACCATCTGGCTGGCATGGTTCATTGTTCAAGAGCAAGCTAAATTATTATGATTATTATTTTTTATCAGAAAATTATATGACCTTGCATTTTTAATTTTATCAAGTTGTTCGGGAGAAATCAGTAAATAATCAACTACAGTACTCTTAAAATGCCTTGTCTGCAATATAGCGCCCCCTCCTCTTCCTATGTCTTGGTGGGAGTCGGGAAAGGAACTGGACAAAATGTGTCCTTTCAAAATCATTGCACAAACTTCGCAGACAGTTACCAAAAGCGGCGATCAATTGGCACCAAAATGTATGTGGACATCTTTCCCCATGCCCACTTCAACCTCTGAAAATATGACAAGGATTAGACTCTCAATGGCGGACTCAAAAGAGAGTGAGAAAACGAGCATCTTGCATTTTCTTTCTTGCCAGATTTGCTTTCTTTGATAAGTCCCCAAGATATGAAGACAATGCCTTCCGAGAGGCTTTTCGTGAGATGAATTGGTCATCGGTCATTTTCTAATCTATGAGGCTGAGCTTCGTCTTTGTCGCTGCATATCCGAAATGGAGGCACTCGAACAAGCCACCTCCGATGCAATGCTGAGCTGTACGTCTGGCGGGACAGAATTAGCGTTTTGCCCCACTGGGGCGACATGAACGACAGGCAACTGCAACGGGGCGTTCCAGTAAGAGGGCGACGCGAGCTCTTTGGCTACATGAGAGATGGGACTCTGCGTTGAGAGGGCATCTGCAAAGCCAGCTCCTTGGCTGCCTGACCATCAAGCATTCGCATCTCCATTTGGGGGCCTTAGAACATGCTAAAAACACAAAACAAAACTGAAATCACGACAGATTTTCCCGGGGAGGGGGGGGGGGGGGATTTTAGTATTGACATTGTTTTTATGTAGATAGACCAACTATATTAAGTGCCAATGTTCAGCCCAGTCAGAAGTCCCTTTCATTCCCATAAAAAATTCCCAACTATGAACATCCCCAGAATTTTTGCCACCGTTCACATTCATCAAAATCATGTCCATCACAGTTAATCGTTGGGCAAATCTTGCTGTGAACCGGAGTGCCGTTTGAAATGATGAAATGCAATCAAATGTCAGTAAACAAAGTTGGCAAGTTCTTCTTGTGTCCTGTCATATGTTATCCAAGGTTCTACTGTCGGTTCAAGGTTTCTCTTAAATTTTCTCGCGAGCGAGAAATTTGTCTTAGAGCCAGGGACTGCAGCTTACATCAGTAAAAACATTCCTACGTCATCACATACATCAAACATAGAATATATTCATGCGATAGGCTTTGTCATCCCCGTCCATCCATAGCGCATTCCATTGGTTGTTTATGTTGATTAGTAGAGGTGGGCAATTTATAAAAATTTTGAAAGTCCGTCATACGTCAGCGGGCCGGACATCCTTCAGTCCATCACCGGCATTTCTGTCCATGACGATTTGTGATACGACTGTTTTGAGTCAGCATTAAATGCAAGTCAAGGCACCATTGCAATAATGATAAATATGCGATAACCACACAAAGTACTGCTTGTGAAAATGTGACCAAATGGCACCACCTAACGATCATCGTCCGCGCCGTCCACCAATTCCCCATTGAAGCAGAATGCGCATGCGCCAAAGTGCCAGCTCGATGTGACGTCATTCGTGAGTGCATTCACTGACTGCGCTGCTAAACGCGAGAGGTAAACAAGCTTTTCGCTGCATCCTTTCAACTTCGAAGGGACCAGTTATCGATGAGTCAAATTAAATAGGGCGGGTAGTTGCTGAAGCTGTGCGTCGCGCCGAACGTCATGATACGTGTCGTTAAAATGACACTTCACGCTCTGCTCGTACTGCTTCGTCTGTGGGACTAGCCGTTAGCCACTAGCTCATCTAGTTCTAATCATTGGGAGGAACACGCCAACTCATCGTTTTTACTGTCCAAAAACAGATAAACAACTCAAAGTGCGCGGCCTTCATTTCTACCCGCTGTGCGTAGAAGACCGCTGCGTCATTTGTGAGAGTTTTGTGTTGAGTTTTATAACCTTAGTCGCTTTCTCATTTCGAGAGATAATCCACATAGCAAAGAGCAGTTAAAGGGCGGGCCTTCGCGCTGCACCGACAGCACTGACGACCAATGAAAAGTCAGGAATTCCGACCTTTCAATGTTTCTAACCAATGGGATGTTGTCACACGGGAAGTGGAGAAACAGATATGTCAAAAACGTTGACCAGGTGTCGAACGACATCGACAAGTTCATTTGGTGTAAATGAAAAAAATCGCTGTCAAATGTGTATGAGGAGTTTTCATTTAAGGGTGCCGCGTACTTATGATCTGTAATCTGGCAAAGTGACATTAAAATGCATCATACAAACACTTTGACTGGGTAATATTCCTCTTTTCTCATTGTAATTAAATGTTATCATATATGTATTGATTTAGAGCTAGGGCAGCTCAGTGAAAGAGTGGTTTTCCCTTTCTGCTTCACCTTCTCTTATCTGGCTGTAAGAATCCTGACAATGACTGACGACCAGTCGGTTGGTTGCCTGTGTATATGTGCCCTGACATTGAAAAAAGGGCTTCAAATTGGGGGAACAAAGGGCAACTTATCCATTCTTCTCAAACTTTATGAATACATATTTATTAATAAAAGTTCAAAACATTAACAGTTCTTCAGATGGTGAAAGGTGACAGAATATCTTTTCCTTCCCCTTTGTGTCACCCTGAATGATGTTTCTCCGAAAGCTGTCATAAGCCTGAGGTATGGAAGTCCATAAGTGATTAAGAAATAAATTACCGAGGGCCACGATGTGACAAAAAAGTGGGGGCTGCATTAACATTAAACTTCGATGTCAAGTAGCGGGCCGCAGAGTATTCTGTTTGAGACGCCTGCTCTTAGTTGTCTATGGGTGTTAAGATGAGGGCGAAAGTTTGTTTGACTGTATGTACCCTGACATTGACTTGCGACCAGTCAAGGGTGTACACCGCCTCTTGGCCTGCATCAAAGTAGGCGGGATCGAAAATTAATGGATGGATCTAATAGTATCATCAAACATTTTCGAAGTAAAATCAAAGAAAACAACACCAAAGTTGAAAAATGCTTTTCTCTCTCTCTCTCTCTCTCTCTCTCTCTCTCTCTCTCTCTCTCTCTCTCTCTCTCTCTTTCGCTTGCTCTCTCTCTGACATCTTATTTGAACAAGAGATGATACTGAACAGAAAAGGGGATAGATAAATTGAACAAATTTTAAAAAATGTATCTGTACCTTGTTTTATACAGATGAAGACTCCACCAGATAGGACAGGCATCAAGTTTGAAGTGGGCGCTCAACTGCAGGCAAGAGACCGCCACAAAAACTGGTAGGCGCTACTCATAGCGGCATGTTAGCCAACTGCAGTCTGTACATTTATATGAACCAAATGTGATTGTTTTTCGGTTTTTGTTTTTGTTTTTTTTGGGGGGGGTGGCTATCAGGTACTCGGCCACCATTGACAAGGTAGACTACGACAAAGAGCGTGTTCTCATCCACTATCGCCGCTGGAGCCGCCGCCATGACGAATGGTTCCATTGGAACTCGCCGTACCTGCGGCCACTGGAGCGACTCACTTTGAGGGGAAGGCGGGGCCTCAATCCGACAAGTGTGTCAACGGTAGGATGCACAGACACGTATTATAATAATAATAATAATAATGATAATAGCTTAGATTGATAGAGATCAATAGTGCCTCCTAAAATGACTTCATCCAATATCAAAACTTTATTCTCTTCCTAGTCTAACTTTAGTCTCATGGAAAAAAAAAAAAGAAGAAAATTACTACGGTAAGACCGTGAAGTAGTCCTCTTTATTTTTTTACAATTATTACCTCAACAATACAATGCTGTATTGAACGAAACCAAAGATGAAAGCTTTTTCAAGCCCAAGCATTGAAAAAAATGCTTTCTTTCAAACAACTGACAGTTTTTTAGGAATACTCTGCAGAACGTTTCGTCAACATTGTGGATTTTGTCATGAAGAAAATATGACAAAGCTGTGCAGCGATGAGGCGCGGAGACTGTTGACATTGGTCTACGGTCCCTTTGCCAATCGGATTGCAGAACACAATGAACAAAAAATAAATAAAAACTCCACTAAAAAGAATCCGCGGAACAGCGGAGCTGTGAAAGATGAACAGTGCCATGGCGATGGTTCACTGTAATTTAGAAACACTTTGGACCACTTGACACACAAAATCTATAAATTCTTATCCCGTGACTGCTCCTCCTCCCCACACTGGGCTTTCTAGCCGGGGGTAGGAACACCCCCGCTTGTCAGCAGTACGTAGCGTGTATCAATTCATATTTTCTTCCCATCTCTTTCTCTCAGTCGTTTGTTTCCGGCACCAAGGTTCTGGCCTGTTGGACCGACTGTCGTTTCTACCCGGCCAAAATCCTGCATGTCAACGATGACGGTGAGGTTGCAGTTACATCATTCTTTCCGCCGAGGATGTTCTCTTGCTATCAGAATGCAATCAGCTGATCGTTTTCTTTAAAGTCAATGGAAACCGTTGCCGAAGGAGGGAGCGGCAGATGGAGATGTTAAAGAAAGACACTTAACATGAATGACTGTTGTTTTCAAATAATAATTCCGTGTTTCCACTCGTGCGGGCACGTCGGATGTATTGTGAAGATAACGTGTCGACTCGACTTCCCCTTTCATGTACCTAGTCACGAAACAAAAAATATTTCCCAAACCAGGTTGCATCCAGCTCTGAGACACGTTTCCTCATGTGTTTTTGTGCGTCAGAGTCCTACACAGTTCGCTTTTATGACGGCGTGGTTCGGACCGTGAAGCCCCCGAAGGTCAAAGCCTTACAGAAAGTAAGGAACACGACAAACAAACTGGCCCCCCATTCGACTTTGAAAACCTACGTGCGCTTTTGCAGAAGTCAAAATGTGACAAGTCAGCCGTGGGAAGTGAGGAACTGGAAGAAGGAGAGAGCGAGCCGGAATGTGGGGAAGAAGTCAGGGAGGAGGAAGAGGAGGAGAAGGAGGAAGGCCAGAGGGGGCCGCAACCATCCCTATCATCACCATCGTCACCATCGCTGCCTCCGCCAGCAGCCAAGAGTCTTCCCCTCCCTCCGGGTGGGAAGAGTGAGACTCACGAGCAGACAATCGCAAGCGAGCTCAGCCAACCTGCCGTTTCCAACCCCGCCCGCGTCGACAAAGGTAAACGCGATCATGAAATAAAAATCAAGAAGTAATCAACATAGGAAATTCCCCTATGAAAATTGTCGAATACAGAAAGAAAGAAAAAATAAAGAGTACTGGTCAGGAAGAAATCTCGAGACAGACTTGAAATGATGACAATAAGAAATCAATGATTTCATCTCTCTTCATGTTCATATTGTTCGGGTGAGCAGCGCACGTCAGTGAGGATCCGCTTTGAACTACGGAAGCTGCCCCCCCCCCCGCCCCCAAAAAATCGTTGCTTTTGAACGCAATTGACGAGTCCCCCAGCCCTGTGGTACCCATTGATGAAAATGAGCTCTGGGCTTGACTGTGCGTCTTTGCTTTTCGCAATGTGTGTCTCACCTGGAGCAGACGTGCTGTTGGAGCGCCAGGCTCACCTCCCCACCACTCACAAATTCAGCAGAGAACCACGTAAGTCACCAAAATTTCACTTTCAAATTGCAACAAAATATAGATATAAAATATATTTCTTTTCTTTTGGGGGGGGGGGGTACCTAACCCTTGATCGGTTGTGTTAAAGGGAAAGTCAAGTCGAACATCCTCTTGACAAAAACGGGTTCTATGTACCCCAAGTAGTCTAAACATTGCATTTTGATCAATATTGCATTTGTGGAATATAAATCAAGCAGAAAGATGGAGCCCTTCCGATTGATCTCAGGGCTCGGCCATTTTGCCACTTACTGTCAACTGAAAATGACATTGCACTGGCTAAGATCTCAGGTAACGAGCGTCACGGCTCACCTCTTTTCTGGGATGGGTCATGGGACTCAAAACCTAACCGGAACAGAAAAAGGGCAAAAAGGTTGCTTTCATTGTGGACATTTTTTTAAAATCGGCATCAGAAATATGTTCAGTGACACATAAAGGCCATCTTCTCGAAATCTAAACGAGTTCAATACTGACGAACTTGTGATTCACGTTTTCTTAATATCGCAAAAAACGAAAGCAAGTAAAAAAGTGGAATGTAAATATTCAGCTCTCGCTCACAATAACACTTGAAATACCGAAAATCACTCATCAATGTAATTTGTATCATTTCACACATGAAGGCAATTTCATCCACGAGAATTCAGATTCTTTACGGTCATGTGACCGTTTGGGCCCATTCGATTGGTGAATTGAGTCAAAAGTTGCCATTGGTTACACGGAATCAATGAAACAGAGTCAAGGAGTCTCTCTGACGACTGAAAACAAATGGATCGCGCGAGCGAACATAAATGGCGGAAAATAAAAGTGGCGAGTGCCGCGGATTGAAGTTTGTTCCCAACAAAAATACTCAAGTTCAAGTGACAAGGATGTGGCATGACAACTACTCAGAGAGCACAATTCATCCCGAAGGTTGCGCGACGGTGTCATTGTAGCTCGTTGCTACGACCCATCTCGTGCGTCAGTGTACAGGGTGATCAAGAACCAGCCTCCCCCCATCCTCTCCATCGAGCTGGACCACAACCCCTTCAAGTGTCCATCGGCGGGCTGCGCTAAGTCCTTCCGGAAGGCCAGTTTGCTGCACTACCACATCAAGTACTACCACGCGGAGCAGCAGCAGCAGCAGCCGGAGGAACAAGGCGCTCCGGCTGTGGCAGACATGCCAAGGTCAGCTTCTTCCCGTCAATGCGTCACGACGTCACACTGGCTATCTTTGGAATCGTTCACTCATCTACTCTCGAGCCGACCTTCACATACAAGTCGATGTACCCTGTGCGTGCGTACGTGCGTGTGTGAACGATCCGATTGGGTTTGGATTCGGTTTGGATTTGATGCCCTCAAATCTTTTGCATCCAAACCGATTTTCGGATTCAAATTGGTTTCCGTTAAGGGCCCTACGGGGGAATTCATCTCCACGTTAGAGCAGCGCAATAAAAGTGGCCACTTTTTCGGTGGTGATTCCGAACGCAGCCAGTGACTGTTGCCGGCAGAACACTTACCCCGCCTTGACGTGACTTGACTGTGTCGTAGGAGGAAGCGCTCGACCTCGGAGAGCAGCCACTTTGGGTACGACGTGGCGGGCGTCGCCTGTCAGCGTGACGACAGAGAGCCCGGGACCACGTTAACAGGTCGGCTGACGCCGTCGATTCGTCTTCTCATCGAGTTCCGTGACGATTCACTTGTCCTCATAATAATCCTCGAGGAGGAGCTGAATCACTTTGTTGCCGCTCAGGAAACGGCAGCGTTTTCACACCTTTTTGTTGCTGAGGAACAATAATCGGAACAGAATCATGAGTGGAAAATATTCGTCAGCTACCTTCAGCTGATTACAAATCTCCACGTCTTTCAAGCCGCTTTAGATTGGGCCGACGCGCAGATCGACGTAAAGCTCCAGCGCCCCCGCGACCCTGTTCAGGATAAGCGCCGTTAAAAAATTCGACGGCTGGACGAATGAAGCCCTGCTTAGCAGCATCACTATTTTCCTTTCCAGAAATATTTGTGCAAATTTCCTTCCAGATGTAATGTTGTACACCCCAAGTGTAACATATTGACATCCAACGTGACATGTTTTAGGTGCGCCTCCGGCTTACTTTGCTAACATCTCGCTGGCGTTGACGGGCTTTATGAGGCAGGCTGTTTTTCAATCGAAATTTCGCTGAGCAAAACTCGCACTTCCCACTTCTGTCCCTTCACTTCACGCAAAATGGGAATTTTCACTCGAAGGACAGAGTGTCAATGCAGCCTCTTTGGTGTGGTTTGTCTGCCGGCAGAGGTCAAGCGGGACAAGAGTCATCAAGACAAGAAAGAGAGAAAAAACTTTCTGAGGGTCAAACTGAAGAAGAAGAAGAAAAAGAAGAAAAAGAAAAAGATGAGCCAATCAGGTAAAAGCTTAAGAAAAAAAAAACCAACAACAACAACAACACTCAAGCATGGTACCAAGAAACACAACAATGGACACAAGGCCAAGTTGCGCAGGAACACATCCAGCGTGTCTTTTCTTTGCTTTTTTTGTCGGAAACCTACCAATTGGGACAGTTTTTAAGATAAGAAAACCTTTATTAGTCTCACAAAGGAGAAATTCCCAATTCACAGCAGCAAAGTTATGAAAGGAAGAAGTAGAAGAACAAAATATTAAGAGCTGCTGTAAAGGCAGCCACTCTTGCGGCGCCAGCTTGATTTTTTTTTTTTTTTTTTTTTTGCTTTGTTTTTGCTGCGGATTAAAAAAGTAAATGGCAAAAAGCAAGAAACAAACTTTTGGAGCGGGTGATAGAAGAATCTACTGTTTGTTTTGTCCCAGAACAGCAAATTCTTTGTATCTTGGAAGAGAAACTACAAGACTTGAAGCTCCACTTTTCTGTTCGTGCCATTCTATAATGTGGCCAGAATAGGATGTTGACAATGCAGAATAATTGTTGATTTTTTTTGGTTTTGTTTTTGTCTCAAGAGGTTTGCAGTAGCGACAACGACGGCTTGGCCTTGTCTTCCGCCGCATTCAAACTGGGCGAGGAGCACCCCAGCACGCACACATGTAAGCGCGCACACGAGCGCGCACGCAGCAGACGCGGGCGCGCCGGACGGCAAATGACGTCATCCCCGCACCGCTTTTGTCAGTGGACGACGGCAGCGACTGGTCGACGCTGACGGCGGAGAGCGGCGAGGACGCGCCCTCCTGGTTGCTGGCGGCGGGGGCGGAGGACAGCGAGGTGGTGAGGTGCGTGTGCGAAGTGGACGAGGAGAACGACTTTATGATCCAGGTGGGCCTCGCGCGGGCGATTTCTTTCGAGGCCTCTCGGCAACAAGCCGCAGCGTTCAACTTTGTTGTCCGCAGTGCGAGTCCTGTTTGTGTTGGCAGCACGGCACCTGCATGGGCTTGTACGAGGACAACGTCCCGCGCAACTACATCTGCTACTACTGCAGACACTGTACAGGTAGGCCGCAAATAGAAACAAAGCCACCGGGGCACGGCTCTTGAGGAGTCAGTCAGGTGGCGCGCTACATGATCGGGAGTACCTGTTGACGGCAGCGCACTTGGGCTTCATGGCCACGCCGTGCTTCTCTGACGCGGTGTGTCCAGGTTGGAGGCGGGCTCAGTGCTACCTGTCCGAGCCCGACTTGCTCACGTCCGGGCGCATGTTCGGTCTGTCTTTTGTGAGGGACAACTACTCCGAGAGCAACGCCTCCAAGATCATGCAAACCAGCGGCCTCCTGGCGCACACGCACAGACTCAATCAGGTCCTCAGCGGCCTGCAGCTGAAGATCGGCCTCTTGCGGTGAGTCCTTGGCGGCGCTCGTCCGCGCCGCGTCGTCATCGTCTCTCCGTCAAGAGGTCTGAGGGCTCGTATGACTTGCTTCACCCGAGCGATGACTGAACCCAAATTGCTTGAACTTTGACTGGGCACTCGACTTAATTTTTGCCACTTGATTGAAACTTGGTGAAGACTCGAGACGGAGCTGTGACTCGCATATAATGCGACGACCCCCCCCCCCACTTCTCTCGCCCGGCCACGCAGAACGCCCTCGCACCCCGACTTGCAGCTGTGGCGATTGCCATGGGCGCCGGAGGAGGGGCACAAGCCTCGAGGGGAGCCCCCCGTCAGTTATGTCAGCAGCGAGCACTGCTACCAGAAGCCGGGTTTGTCGTGGGAAAAAGCCAGGCCGAAGCACGCCGCCGCCGCCGCTGCGAAACAAGACGCGCTCCAAGAGGATGAGGTGAGACGATGAAACGGATTCCAAGCAAAATGTGAACAATTGGCAGCCACGTCCTGAGTTCCGATGTCTCGGATCTTGAAAGCAATTCAAAAATGGGTCTGGCTGGATGGATCGAAATGATCAATTCATTCATTTTCGATTGGCGTAAGTGTCCTCGGCGAGCTCAAGCCGATCACGGCAATGACAACGCGGTTGTGGGCAATTTAGCGTCGACAAGGAATCTAAAATGCTTGTTTTGGGAATGCGGGAGGAAGCTGGATTACCCGCGATACAGGCGTGTTAACCACCAGCTCGCTGTGATGTATTTTTAAGTGATGATTTTATTCACTCATTGGGGTGTTTGAAAATTGTGTCCCAAACCCAATATTTGGTTCTAAAAGCGATCAAGCTTTGCAATAACTATTGAGGAAACTTTCAAAATAGCAGTGGAGGAATTTGGGCTTACTCATCTTTGTGGGGTTTTTTTTTTTTTTTTTGCACGCTGGGAGATTCGGGTTGATCACAGGTCAGAGTGCGCCGTAAAAGGAGCTTGATGCACAAGCATCTCTCATTATTTGACTGTTGTTGCCGTGGCAACGTGACCACGTCAGCGATGACCTATTTTTACTCGCGGGTGAGATGCAGCGAGGAACTTTGTCTAGGAAGAGTCGATCGGTCTGTTTCATCAAGTACAGTTTATTCGTCGGCACATTTTTGTTTGGGGTATTTTGTCGCTTCCACTGTTCAAAACTGTTCCGTTATTCGTCCCACAATCGGGAAATTGGCGGTGCTGGGGGGGGGGGGGGGGGGGTATATTTTAATTCTCGCTAAGAAACAGACAATGTGAACAGAATCATTTTCACATTGCAAAGGACGGAAGAGGCCAGTGGAAGGCAATTGATTTTAAAATGGCAAATGTGATTGCTGAGCACGCCGCTCGTGTGTTTCTTTTTCTTTCCAGGAAATAAAGCGGGAAGACTTGGGATTTGATGAAAGTGATTGGCAAGGCTGTGCCAAAAGCACCAAGCGCACGTGCGCAAACGGAGACGAAGGGCACGCGTGCGCTCGTCCGCCGGCCTCACCGACTGAATGCCAGCTCAACCTGCTGGAGCATGTGGAGCGTCTACACCAGCAGATCAGCACGAGGATGGACATCATCGAGAAGGACCTGGACGGTGAGGCGTCCGCTCCTTTTTCCCTTTAATTCGGCCCGGCGGTGCCATTTGGTTGCGAGTGGCCACCATGACGAGCTTTCGGGGATGCAAGCCACGATTCAGACGATTCTTTTCTTGGCTTTGACTTGTGGGTGCAAACTTGAGATTCAGGTGCTCTGTGGTGGCAGTGAGCTCAACGTACCCATCTTGACAATTTGCAACAGTTTAGCATTTAAAAAAAAAAAGAAGAGGCTTCAAGCCCGATTATGATTGTGGCGTGCTCTTTTTTCTCATTAGAGAGCATTTTTGTTGGGGGCGAGAGGAGGGCTGGCACGGATTAATGGCATTTCCATTCGTTTCACTGGGCAAAGAGGATTTTCACGGGCGAGTGTTTTGAGATGCGAGCGTGGTCACGGAACAAATTTCACTCGTACACTCTCTCGAAGAACCACCGAACACGTATCTTCCGTGTCGACGTGTACTCTCTGTAAACACACACAGCAGGAAGTCGATAAGCCACTTTTATGTTTTTTTTTCCTTCTTTCTCAGTTCTGGAGTCGTGGTTGGATCATTCGGGTGAGCTGGAGCCTCCCGAGCCCTTGTCCCGCCTGCCGCAGCTCAAACAGCGGATCAAGCGCCTGCTGCACGACCTGTCCGTGGTCAGGCGGCTCTCGGCGCGCCACTGGCACTCCAGCTAACGGCGTTGAAGCCGGCGAACACTTTGGACAAATGGCACATTCGCGCGCTTGTTTGAGGTGGAGCCCCCGCCCCAAAAGTGCCCGACGCAGAGACATGAGGTGTTCCTCATCCAGCGGCGGCAACTTCTCCGTTTACATGGCATCAACACGCACACGTTAGCATGCGGCACTTGTTTTAACAGCGTTCTGAGATTACGATATATATTCTTATTCTATTTAATTTGCTGAAACGTTAGAATCACGGCCAAAAAAAAAACTAAAACATCTGTTGTTCTTGATCCTGAATAGACGGCGTGTTGCTTTAGTTTTTCTTTTTACGATGAACAATACTAACGTAGTCAAGGTAAACCTGCCTCATGTGTGTGCGCCTATTTACATACAAGCCACTTGGAGGAAAGTATGAGGGTACCCAGCTACTGGCTCTCATCTGCTGGGCCAATACTGAGATCTTGTTCCCGTGACGACCAGTGGGCTGGATCTTCAGTCATCTCTTTTTCCGCCTTCCTCGGCAGCAAATGTTCATGGAGTCAACCGCTGGAGACTACTCGCAAAAGCACAGCCCAAAGTGTGAGGAAACAAGCGGCCGTTCAAAACACTTTTTTTTTTTTTTTGTGGCACTAAAAACAAACTGACGGAGCAATCAAGTAAGAAGCTAAACAAGAAGGTCCTCACTTCAAGCGAGCACCCATGCCGATTCAGTTTGTGTTATTCGTCACTGGTTATGCGGCATTTCATCACCAAGCCATCAAATGACACTTTTCAGTCAATCATTCCCATGTGGCTGTATGACATGGCTGGCCAAACACAAATCCCCGCACTCACAGACAGGATTCGCACGATTGGTTCAAGTTCACAATCTCAGTGTGTAGGGCGCTCCGAGCGCACAACTTTTCGTATACGGCCACAGTGCGTCGGCTCGCCTTTCGCTTCCTGCAAGTGTCCAATACTTGATGTCCATGTGGGGGAGGAGAATTTGCTCACCGACTGGTCACGTGGTCTTGTGCACACAATGCAAAAGCGATGACAAACTGAACCGCGTGAAGTTTTAGTTTTATTTTGATGGTGTGCAACTCACAGATGTTGCCGAAATGCGCACGTTTTGTCAGACTTTTATTTCTTTGACTTATAAGCACGAGGTGGCTGCTTGCCTCTGAAGAATGAATGGTTGACATCAACATTCGCAAAACTCTTGTTTTCTTTTTTCTTGAGATCGTGAAAAAAAAGTAAAATAGAGAGAATTGACAACAGTACAACACTAACATTGTGATATTTTACACCCAACCCACGCACACGTGGTCAATAAGGTGGAAAATATTATTCATCGGTTCTTATTTTAGTCATTGGAGGGGAAAAGACGAGCTGTTGTTGACGTTCGCTGAGCCCCGCCCCCGCCATTTCCAGACTGCCAGCCGGTTGCTCGTATCCTTCGTCCACTTGGCTCTCGTCGTCGGGGCTGAGGTGATTCGCAACAAGCTCACTCGGGCTCCGAACGGCGCTCTCGTTTTACTTCCCCGTCGACCTTCGTCGCTCGTTAAATTCGACTCCGCGCCTTACGGTGAGTGAAAATCAGGAAGAGAATTTCGTCACGGAGTTGTCACAGATAATTAGCTCCAAGCTAACTAGTCGCGAGCCGCGCGTGTGCGTGAGCGCGAGAGAAAAGGCAGAAAGGGAGAACGAATTGAAACGGTTCCCATGGCAACGGTTGCTATGCAGCGGCTCTCTGACCCGAGTTCACGTTAGCATCAGACTTTTAGCTCATTTGCTGTCGTTTATTCCGAAAAGACGCGTACCAATACACACGCGATCGCGTCCCTCGGAAATGGACTTAATTAGTTGGTCTTGAAAGCTGATCGGTCGCTCGTCGAGAAGCAATGACGAGACGTCACCCATCGGAGCTCGACCCAGTTCAGCCACCGCATCGTTCAGCCAACGGAATTGCGATCGATTCGGGCTGGGCGAGTAACAGGTCCAAAAATCCTATTTCCACCTTTCATCGATTAAATAATAATAATACTAAATGACAATGATTTCATTCAAAACACGTTTGCTCTTTGTGTTGTCCCCGCTTTTTGGATTGGCTTTATTTTTTTTCCGAACACTAAGCAAGCTTTGGAAGTGTTTTTTTTTTTAACACCCATTGTTACTTGTATCAATGGTCGCTTAGTTCCCAACGCTGACCGTGCATGCGTTTGTCAACTCGCGCTCCTCTGCGCACTTGATCAGCTTCATTACACCGATAGAAAGATATTCCGTCGAAAAAGCGGTCCAAATAGATCTCGGAAATCAACTCTGAACGGTGATGAGCAATGGCCGTCGTGTTCCGACGGCGTTACGTTGGAGGCACGCGAGACACCAACAACTTATCGGTGTTCCCTTCGCAAAACAAATCGTGCCCGGAGCTGAACGGCGCGCCTTTCAAATGCACGCGCAAGAATACACGCACACAAATAGTGCGGGCAACTCACGAGAAATAATGTCTCGATCCATTTCATTGAAGCCGCATTGCCCAACGCTTGACACGTAGCTGACTTGGTTGTCGAATATGTAAGTTGAGGGGTTCGTAGGTTTTGAATGGAGGGATCTACGTTAGGAATGGGCAAAAAGGAGAGATGGACTTAATTTCAACGCGGCTTTTATTTTCCAACGTCTGCTCCGCAACTTCCGGTAACGAAAACACTTCCTGCTTCTCTTCAGCCAATCAGACGCAAGCAGCATAAGAATGTTTCAACAATTATGAAACAGAAGATAATTTAGTGAACTATAACACAAAGGAATATAATGCTCAAATATAAAATGAAAATAATAATTTAACGTAAGCTTACATTTAATTAAAGAATATATCACTTAAAAACATGAACTTCTTAGTCGGCAGGGAATCCATTGAACTTGCAGTTCAGTTTATTCAAGGCTTATTTTTTTTTTCTCTGACGACGTATTATCAGATTATGGACAGCCTGGGCCTCGATTAAAAGGTGTTTCCACCTCTTGACTGGTACTCAAAAGAGGGAATACATCACTCCTACTCTGTGCGAAAGTGCTCTAGAAATACAGTCGAGGTATGTGTGTGTACATACACACACACACACACACATATATACATCATATATTTCTCAGGCGAGCAGGAAGGGGCGGGGGTCCCACGATGGAGGAACTTCACGATGTCCAGCTGACAGAAATCAAACCCCTCCTGACGACTCAGGTAAGGGAACAGAACACAAAGCTTTTCTTGGACTTCCACTTGCAGTGCTTTCGATGAATGCAATGTTTTTGTGTCTCTTCCTAGAATGGCAGAAACCTGCAGGACTTCAACTGTCAGGTGACGTGATGTACCAAAGATCACCGTAATGTGTGTGATCGGTTTTACGGTTGCGAGGCAATGGGACATTGCCAGAGGGCTTGAGCAAATTGCCATGGGAATTTAACCTGGGGAATTTTTCAAACTCTCCATGGCAAAGGTATCATACGCAAGCAGTTGTTTCATCCTAAGTAGGTAGCTACACAAAGTCATTGTTTAAAAGCATGACATTTCAACAGATTGAATTTGCAGTTGACGTTTTAAATTGGGGGCATTGCTCGGCATGAAGCTCCGCAGCGATGCAAGTTTTTTTTTTAAAAGTTCAACGAAAAGAAGACAGAAGTGATGGCGTTTGGTCCCAGTGGCCCTCGTACATCCAACCCTGCGGACTCGGGGCCCCCTGGCTTCTCATCTTAAGTCCACAGTCTCAGACGTGGGTCTTCAAGTGGACAGTCATTTGAAATCGGACCGGCAAATCGGTGCCGTTGTTCATTCCAGCTTCTTTCATCTGAGGCAAGTCAAGGCCCTCCTTTGTCTGGTGAGCTCTTGGAAACAGTCCTTCATGCCTTCATCACATCTCGGCTGGATGACTGTCATGCACTTGACTTTGGAGTCAGCCGATCCTCCATGAAGCGCCTCCAGTTGGTCCAGAATGCCGCCCCTGGCCTCTTGACTGGCTCCCTTTTTCGAGTTCCTTTGAAGATCCTCAAATGTGGTTTCAAATCTTGAAATGGCCCGGCCCCACCTGACCTCTCTGAGCTGACCCCTTTCACATGTCCATTTCATGTTGTGTTCAATGACTATTTCCATGCCTCCAAGGATGGTCGTTTATGTTAGTTATTGTTTCTTTCATGCCGTCGCTCTTACGGCGTGCCCACAATGGAAACGAGACTTCTGTGAGGAATACAAAACCTTTGCGGAACGTCCGTACGCTTCCCCGGTTGTCGGGCTGGGGTCGCCACACATGGCCAGGCTCCTGAAGAGGAGAATGAGTGAAAGGACGGGCCTTCCGATAAATTGAGGAGGAGAAACTCGATCTGGATCAAGAGGAACGACTTTAACTTGGCTGCGAGATAACGACTGAAGGAGAAGACGAGAGGCCAGGACGCCCGGAACGCCCGGTCTGGCCACTCTGCCCGAAATCATGGAAACGGCGAGGCTCGGGGGTCGCCTCTTGATGGACCCGAATTCTCTTTTCATGCCTCTCCCACACAAGACATCAAGCAAGAAGCTGTGCCGGCTGTTTCAAATGATGTACCACGAAGTTCTTCAAGCTCTTGATTCTCATTTTTAGTCTGATTCATAATTTGGTTTGAGTTAACGAGCCCATTTTTAAGACAACAAATAGGTTTTTAAAAGAACGTGCCCCACTACCCACCCCTGCTGTAGACAGAGCAGAGTAGCAGCAGCAGCGGCAGCGCACGGGTGAAAATAGCAGCTGGCTCTGTTGTGTGGGAGTCGCCTCCCAAAAAAGACCCGAAGAGCTTCCAGAGCACAACATGTTCCACATCGGTTGGGTACAGTACAGCCAACAAGAGGCCGGCTTTCTTCTTTGTGCTCGTCATCTCACGCTCGGACCCGTCGCGATCCCTCGGGATGCGTCAACGCCCGTCGAGAGAGAGGCAGAGGCGGGAAAACCTCAGCGCTCAAACCAACCTCCCATTTGGAATAGGAATTCATGAAAAGTCAGCCAATTAAAAAAAAAAAAAAATGAGGAAGTGTTTTTATTTGTTTCTGTTTAGTTTTTTTTTTCATGGCCAAATCATGGGGCGATGTTTCATTTTAAATAGAACGAAAAATATTTTGAGTTTTGCTGTTTTTATTTGAACATTTCCGAAATAGGGCATTTTTTTTCTTCTGTTTGTTTTCATTCATTTCTTTTTTTCGGAATGCTTTTAAGATTAGATTAGATTAGATTAGAAAACCTTTTTTAGTCTCACAATGGAGAAATTCCCAATTCACAGTAGCAAAGTTATGAAAGGAAGAAGTAGAAGATTGTTTAATTTACAATTAAAAAATACAAATTAAAAAAAAACAATAAAATACAAAAAAAAAAAAAACCCAACCAATTTTAGGCAGATTGACTTGGCTGCTCCATTTCATTCTTCACCCCAGATTTGGAGAGAAGACACCGCATGAATCCACTTCCCATCAAAAGTCACCTTTTACTGTTTGGATGATCGACATGCGCGCACAATTGTTTTCTGCTGTCCAGGAGTATGACGTGGAAACGACTCACTGCGCACTGCATGTGACCGTGAGAGGCGTCGCTAAGGGCAACCGCCCCACCATCCTCACCTACCACGACGTCGGACTCAACCGTGAGTACGCGCGCGGAGTCCGGCGTGCGCGCCGCGTGCGTCTCGTCCGACTCAATGCTCGCTTGAAATGTCTTTGTAGATAAGTCGTGCTTCAACAGCCTTTTTAACTACGAGGACATGCAGGAAGTGACTCGGCACTTCTCGGTGATGCACGTGGACGCTCCGGGACAACAGGAGAACGCCCCCGCCTTCCCCAACGGGTATTGTTTGTCTCTGTATGTGCCGCGACTGACTGGTCACCACTGCCGACTTTCTCCCCATGTCAGCAGTGAGAGGCTTCAGCTCCCCGCTACCGTACGTTTTAACAAAGCCATTGACTGGATGGGGAAAAAAAAACCGACTTTCTCCCCATGTCAGCAGTGAGAGGCTTCAGGTGCCCACTACCGTTTTAACAAAGCCATTTACTGGATGGAAAACAAAAACAAAAACTCTGAAACGAATGCAAGTGAACTTGTAAGTGTAGTTTTTGTTTGTGCACTCAGGTACCACTATCCATCGATGGACGAGCTGGCCGCCATGCTGCCGTCCGTCCTCACGCAGCTTCAGTAAGTCGGTGTACTCTTCGCCGTCAAGGCCTTCTTGATCGCGGGGATGTGTTCTGCAGCCCCAAAAAAATCAAATATTTAACAAAGGGGGCAAGGACATTATTCACGCGGGCTCACCTACTGGAGCTTTGAAGAGTTTTCGTTCTTTTTAATACATTTTCCAACGTCTCTGTTCTCGACCAAATCGTTTTTCGACCAAAGATTTCGAGGTTTTTATGACTCGGATTACGACCGGAGAATCGGTTCTCGACCAAACTGAGCGCACTTGAATGCGCCACTTGACTCCTCTCGCTTTCCTTACACGAGGAAGTGACGCTTCCTCGGGTAGACGAGGAACTGTCACTTCTTTTTTTTTTGTTCAAAGAGCGTGGTTTCGGTTTTCGAACAGCCTTCTGGAACGGATTATGGTTGAAAACCGAGGTATGACTGTACATTCAATCCTCACTAACAACCTGCTTTATATGTTGACTTGGGTCGTCATCTTTGTCTGATCTTGACATGTTTGGGATTATCAATAACATTAAAGTACCGGTAGGGAAACTATTTAAAAACAAAACAAAACATTTTTAAGGGGACAAATACATTTTTATGGCACACTATTTCATGTCCCGTGTGTGTGTGTGTGTGTGTGTGTGTGTGTGTGTGTGTGTGTGTGTGTGTGTGTGCGCGTGCGTGCGCTCAGGGTAACCAGCGTGATCGGCATTGGGGTCGGCGCCGGAGCGTACATCCTCAGCAAGCTGGCTGTGAGTGAATCCCTTCTCAGGCAAATACGCACTGTGGCCAAAAGTATTGGGACACCCGCTTGACGCCGCTGATTGTCGCCGTTCTAGTTGAATGAGCCCAGTCTGGTGGAAGGATTAGTTCTGATCAATATTGATCCCTGCGCCAAGGGCTGGATGGACTGGGCCGTATCCAAGGTCCGACAATCACACTGAAACACACACACACACACACACACACACACACACACACACACACACGCCATTATGTGTATTTTTATTTATTTTTTCTTTTTTACACTAAACACTTTTTTGCTTCTTGCTGTTCAGCAAAGTGATTTGCGCCGGCTGTTGTGAAAGCGCCATATCAGGAAAAGAGGTCTCTTGTCTTGTATTGCAGGTGAGCGGCTGGACCAGCAACCTGGTGGACCTCGTCATGGCACACCACTTCAGCTCGGTGAGAGCGCGCGCGCGCGCGCACACACACACACACACACACACACACACACACACACACACACACACACACACACACACACACACACACACACACTGCCAAGCAAAGGCTTGTCATGCTTATTTAAAGTGTTTTGTGCATGTGTGTGTGTGTGTGCGTGTAGGATGAGTTAACAGAGAACAAAGAGCTCATCCAGACTTACCGGCTTCACATTTCTCAGGACATTCCGCTGGACAACTTGGCGATGTTTTACTGCAGCTACGACAGGTGATTTGTCATGTGTGTTTGTCTTCATTTTTTTTTTCATTCACTTCAATTTGGGGTGAAACAACGTGGCAGAAGACAAGCGAGCAAGCAAGAAGGGCATTCGAGATTTTTTTGTTGTTGTTGTTATTTGGTGGACCCTCATGAGGTGAAAGCGGTTCAGCTCAAGGTTTTCATTCACTTCAATTTGGGGTGAAACAACGTGGGGCAAGACAAGCGAGAACGGCATTCGGGATTTTTTGTTGTTGTTGTTGTCATTTGGTGGACCCTCGTGAGGTGAAAGCGGTTCAGCTCAAGAAGGGCTGCTTCGATTGCGGCACGATTGAAGAGTGATTCGCATCCCCGTCTCGTAGCGCGACGGTTTGGATCTCATTTTCGTCGGATGTCTCGTTGAGATGTTTTAAGCACAAGTTTCTCTGTGGAAAAGAAATCCTGTTTTCTTTGAACTTTTTGTCCTGCAACATAACGGGCGTGTTCGATAGCGTGTGCGTGCCTGCCCGCCTGTATCTGCGCGTGTCCGTGATGTGCGAACATGTGCGTGTGTGTGTGTGTAGCCGGACCGAGTTGCAGATGGAGCGCCCCGTGCCTGGTTTGAATGAAGACGCAGTCAACACCCTCAGGTAGCACCGATTTGTGTTTTTTGTTGTTATTGTGGTGGTTTCTTTTCTTAGCGCCGCGTGCGTTTGTGCGTCCGTGTCAGGTGTCCCGCCCTGCTGGTCGTCGGAGACGCTTCACCCGCCGTCGACGCTGTGGTCAGTTTCTCGGCTGCCGCCGCGATGGCTCCTCCCTCGATGTTTTTGACATTGCGCTTTTCCCCCATCCAGGTGGAGTGTAATTCCAGACTCAACCCAACTAAGAGCACCCTGCTCAAGGTACCTCACTCCATTCACTCCACAGTTGGCAGAGAGTTATTGTGGTTGTTGTGTTTTGTCTCCCTTGCACACACAAACTGTGAGTTAGTTTTCTCGAAAACAATCAAAAGCGCTCTGAAGATTTTTTTTTCCAAAGCAGTCCTGCCATCATTTGCAAGTCAACAAGAAGATGTTGTCAGCCATCTTTTTCTGCGAGCAGATCTGACAGGATCTTGGTTTCATTCAAAGGACACGCACATATTATTCCATTTTTCCCAAGTTCAAAATTTCCCAAGGGGTCTGTGACAGCTTTTTGCCATAATGAACAAAGGATGAAAAAAAATGTTGGAGCACTATCCACACTCTGCTGTATTTGTCTGGTTGAAATGAGCATTTTTTTTTGGAGCGGGGCAGCTCTGCCTCATCCAAGTCAGACTTTGCACCTCCACATCACTACAATGAGTGGAACGTCAATTATGACTTTTACCGGCGATGACGTCTTCTCAAACAGATAAATCGATTAAAAAAAACAAAAAATTGTAGCCAGTAAAGTCCAAAGATAATTTGTATTTTCCTTTGCGCAACCAGCACTTCATCACTAAGCTGCCCTTTTCTACTTTAGAATTTGTTTTTTAGCAGATCCGTGCATGTCACGTGCAGCGGAGCACAAATCTCCACCGCTCCCATACGGACAACTTTTGCAGCAACATTAGCCCTCGACGAAGACTCGGAGTCCAAACACTTCGTCGCTCCTCAGCACATTTTTTGCCTGCCAAATTTGAAGCGCACCTGTTATGTGTACATTTTTTTTCTCCGTCTAATGGTTACAGACCAAACGTTTTGGATCCACGGCATCACTCTCATCCTCCTCTTTTTCTGGTAACTTTGCCAAATATTTGAGCACGCGCCACATATCACGAGCGTAACGCTGAGAATGGCCTTAGCTCATGCTAATATGTGCTAACAAATAACACCACAGCTCCGCCTGCCGTTCGGACTTTGACACGACAGCTTCTCTGCGCGGTGGCTTGAAAATGGATGATCTGCACCCACCCAAGTCACGGGTGTAGTTGAGTCGTATGTGAAGGAGCTCCGTGGGGCAAAATTGAAAAGGCCAGCTCGTAAAAGATTGACTTTGGCATTTAATAGGCGGGCCCCAACTGTTTCCCGGACCGACTTCGAAGTGCAGTAGTAGACCGTTCGCTCTTCGCAACCCGGAAATGTCACGTGTACTCTATGTCATGTAATTCTCAGTCTTTCCTCTAGATGGCAGACTGTGGAGGACTTCCGCAAGTGGTGCAGGTCAGCCCATCGTTTCATCTTCGTTTTGACCCCTCGATTTGTGTTTTTGGCGGGATATTTAGCGAATGTGCTTCCCCCCCCCCACCCTCTTCCATCCTCAGCCTGGAAAACTGTCAGAGGCCTTCAAGTATTTTGTGCAGGGGATGGGCTACAGTGAGTAAATCCATCCGAGTTTGTCTGTTCTTTCTGGGTGTGTGCTTGTCGTGATCAGGACTTCAGGACTTTCTTATCCCGCTTGCCCTCGCAAGCGTACTGTAACGGGGAACTCCAGTACAGTACAGGGTGATGGGGCATTTTACAAACATTGATAGACATCAGTCAGCGGGGTGGAGTTGAGGTAAACCGCTCCAAAACCTGGACACTTATTGTCCTGATGGCGACTGATTGTCCAGGTTGCGCTTGGGGAGGACCGTCAATGAAATGACTTGAGCGCAAAGGGGAAAAAGGGGGCATTTGATTCCGATGTCAAGATGTCAGCGTCTTCTTCTTGATCCCAACTGGTTTGTCCCCCCTTGTAGTGCCCACAGCCGGCATGACCCGCTTGGTTCGCTCCAGGACTCACTCGGCCTCCAGCGTGGGCACCGGCGACGGCGTCCGGACTCGCTCTTCCACCGGCACGCCGCCAGAGGGCGCCGCGCCCACCAGCCCCTAACGCCTCCGGCGTACCTCCGGCCAGGAAGGAATTCTGGAGTTTCGCTGTCGTCGTTGACGTCTCTCTCTCTCCGATTAGCCCAGCAAGTTCTCGGAATGAAGCGGAGGCAAAGGCAATCTTGACTTTCTTCCTCCCTCCGGCCCCGCGGTCACTGTGGCGATGCTGAAGATGGCGTTCACGTGAGGTGGTGGGGGGCTTTTTGTTGTTGTCGTTTTATTTTCATTCAGTGGCAGCTTGTTTTAGCGTAGCTTCAGTTTGAGGCCGATTTATTTATTATATCTGATTTTTAGTTCAGTGTTGTGAATACCCATGTGGAATTGCTGTTTTTAATCATTCTTCTTTGCCACGAGCAAGTTGTCTTTGGGGGCCTCAACATGGCCTAAAAAAAAAAAAAAAATCACCATTTTTACCGGGACCGGATACGTCCTGATGAAGGGCACTGCTTTTCACACTTGATTGACTCTCGGACTGAGGTGTATATTTTCCATTGGGGAAAAAAAAAATGGACCAAGATGTCAAAAAAGGAGGGCCCCAATATGAGTTTGACCGGGTGGATGCTGTGGCCGTGGTTGATCCTTTGCCCAAAACGTTTACGTCAGCTCACTTTTTTGATCAAATGATTTTTGCTGTTCAGTTGCGTGAAGTGATGCTCGCATGGCTAAAAATGGACATGACAATTTTTTTTCCCCTGCTTTTGAAATGTTTCGGTCTTATTTACCTGCTGCTTGTGGACTTTTTGGCATGAAAACGGTCCAGTGCGGCGCCGTCTCGTATCTCAGCCGTTGACGTGTAAAAGGATTTTGGCAGACGAGGCTCACAAGTTCATCGTGTGTGAGTGACGGTGGACAAATTGGTGATGTGTGAACACTTTGTATGGATTGGTTTCTGTTGTTTGCCATTGTTTTCCCAACCTTTTATTGAGTCTGTCTACATATTTTACCTAAAAAAAAAAAAAAAATCATTGCACGCCACCAAACTAAATAATCACACCAAGTGTACATAAATCCAAGACTAATCAATGATGTACCTTCTGTCATCCAGCGTGAATCCCTCACCGGGATAGGGCTCCGCAAAGATTTTGTTTACCTGTCGTTGTGGTTGTGTCAAGCTCTTGGTTACAAAATTAAGAAGATTTGTACTTCAGTATTTGAGCGAAATAAATAGTAAAAGTGGACGTGAGCAGAAACTCAAGTTGCTTCTGCCTCAACAACACAAAGTTAACCAAACGCTGATTTATTGGCATAGAAGGTGCGTTTTATTTCTTAAAGGCTGCAAAAATCATGTACATTGAGTTCAGGTCAAACGAGCGATTCCAGAAAGGCCGGCTGATGTGCTCGGCGCGGCTAGCTGGCGGTAGGGGGCGCCGTCTTACTGCAAAGACGAGCCACCAGTCCTGCCAGCTGCAGCAGGGAGTTGACGCCCTCGATGATGCGCATGTGCGTGTAGCCAATCTCCTGCACGGACAAAAATAAAACGCCCCACCGCACAAATTCAGCGCTTGTCAGACGACAGCTGCCTAACGCGTCAAAATTTTTGTTTTTGATAAGAGATTGTTGCGGAGCAAGTGATCAAACGCCCGTTTTGAGCGTCCGAGGCGGCGTCTCACCTTGATGAACTCCAATTTGAGGTACTCTGCCATCTGGTAGGTCTTGCATACTCGGAAGATGTTGCCGATGATGTCTTCCGGCGAATAGCCCAGCGCCCACAGCTGCTCCACCACCTTGTAGGCCTCATCCACGTTCCCGTCCACGCAGTGTCCCAGCATGCCTTTCACGAGCAGGGGGTGCGGCTCGTCGCACACCTTGAACACGTTCTCGCTGTTGATGTAGCCGAAGCCCGAGTTGGTGGACTGCAGGTTGTTCAGCGCCTGGCCACGCACAAACGGGGCATCAGAACAAGAGGGGTCAACGGGGCCCTATTTGGTTTGTATTTTATTTTGAATGCTAGCACCATATATGTTTCAGAACAACATCATTCATGTCTAAAAAGGAAGTGGTAGTTTAAGCCAACGGGGGAGGCGGCATATGAGTGGAACGGTCCTACCTCTGCCAAAGTTTGAGCAAGAGGAGCAGGCAGGAGTCCTCACCTGTCGCATGTCCCCCTGCGCGGTAAAGATGATGGCCTCCAGGCCGTCGTCGGACACGGACAACCGCTCCCTCGCCACCACGTCCTGCAGCCGCGCCAGGATTTGGCCATCGCTCAGTTTGGAGTAGCGCAGAACGGCGCAGCGCGACTGGATGGCTTCGATAATCTTGTCGGAGGCGTTGCAGGCCAGCGCGAAACGTGTCGTCTTGGAGTAGATCTCCATGATCCGCCGCAATGCCTGCTGTGCGCCGTCCGTCATGCTGGAGGGAGTGAGAGAGGGAGGGAGGAGCTGAAAGTTGGGAGTGGACCAAAGTAACAGCCGTACCGCTCGGGTTTAGGAAACAATATCGACGGTTCTACACGGTGGCAACGGGTGGCGGCTGCCACCCCCACCTCAAGTTTCACCTGCCACCCCAATGAATCTCGCAATACAGTGAAACTCCTCTACAACGAAACCTACATGGGCGAAAATACCTTCATGTGAAACAAATCTTCATGCATTAACACCATTCCCACTCTCCTGCCCCCCATACAACGACCCCCCCCCGTTGCGTTATACGAAATCTTTTTCTCTGCTCTTGCCTCGCTACGAGATTCACTACAATGAAGTCTAATCCAACAGCGACCTCTACTGCTTCGTTCGGAAACGGCAACAGCCACCACCACACTGGTTTGCACATGCGCAGTAGTCCAGGAAGTATTTGTTAGTTTCAGACACAGCAAGAACGTTGCATTGCTAAAATGGCGACAAAACGGACCTTTGCAGACCAAGGAGTTAAAAAAAGAAAAGCATTCATGCTTGAAGACAGGATAAAAGTCATAAAAATGAAGGATGGAGGAAGCAAAGTAAAAGACATTATGCAAGAAATTGATGTAAGTGAAAGTGAATGCTGATCGTAAATTTTGCAATTTCTTTCCCGTTTTTTTTTTCTTTCTACACCGGCTTTATGAAGTGTTAAATAAGTGTATGCTCATATTTATGCACTACGTATTGGAATAAAACACATACATTTTGTGTGTGTGTGTGTGTGTGTGTTTACATCTGAGATAAAATTTGCTACAGTGAAAAGCCCCCTGTTGTGAAAGATTTCTTGCTGGAAACATGATTTCGTTGTAGAGGAGTTTCACTGTATTTGAGTATGAAAAAAAGGGCATCTTTTTCTCAGTTGGTCCAGCTGCTTCTCAAAGGGGCCTCGGGTGTGTCAGGAAAAGTCAATGTCATCCTCCATTCCATCATCTCACCTGTCAGCTTCATCCAGGATGATGATCTTGTGTCGTCCTTTGGGTAGCGTCACCTTTTGCTGGGCGAACATTTTGATTTTGTTCCTCACCACGTCGATGCCCCTGCGTGCACCAAAGGTCAAAATGCAAAAAAAAATAAATAAATGGAGGGGAGGAAAAAAAAAACTGCCACAATGATCTCACCTGTCATTAGAGGCATTGAGTTCCAGCACGGCGTCCTTCATGGAGGCGCCAAGCAGCGCTCGGGCCAAACACAGGATACTGGTGGTTTTTCCAGTTCCAGGCGGACCTGAATCGTAGACGTCGGAGCGGTCAGCCTTTGACGTTTTTTTTTGGTCCGAGTAACTTTGTGATCCAGTGTATCCGACTTAAAATAACCACTTGTAAGCATTTTCAGGTGTCTTACTTATGAATAACATGACTGAAAACACATCAAAGGATGAAGAATCACATGGAGAACTCCTGTAACATCTTCTATTTGCCTGACACTTCACACGTTCAAACTACTGCGGTCAAGAAAATCATAAGCAATTAAAAAAAAAGTGAAATACTCAATCACGCTGTTTACAAGGATGTCTCCCGCGCTCTGTCAAATGACAGAAAGGTTTGTTGACAAATGGTGCGATGGGAGACGTTCAACGTTTGCCAACAGGAAGTAGATGTGATGAAAAGGTGCGATCGGTTGTAGTATTTGGATGAGAAAGTGCGCATTCGCGATCCTTCATGCACGTCGTGCTTTCAGGGCTCCATATGGACCTGCGGAAAGTGCGCATTCGCGATCCTTCATGCACGTCGTGTTTTCAGGGCTCCTTAATGGACCTGCAATGATGATGTTCGGGACGTTTCCCTCCCGGGCGAACACCGCCAGGCGGCTGACGGTGTCCTCGTTGCCCACGATCTCGTTCAGCTTCAACGGCCTGTATTAGGACACCCAGGGCAGGTCGTAGGAGCCGGAGCCGGAGCTCGGGCTGCTCCCCTCCCCGGCCTCCGTGTCCGGCGTGGGTGCACCTTCCACGGCTCTCTCCTCGCTCGGCGGTACCGCCATCTCCACGTCCATGATGGCCACGCTCCACAACAACTTCGTTCCCGCTCCGGAAACTGTAAGTAAGATCCATTCCCATTGGCTGAGGTCGCATCCGCGAGGTACGTTTACAAGTCTCGCGATATTTGGATCAAAACATGTCCTGTCTCTAATCGGCCGCCGTAGATGCTTCATTTTTGCTTCGTGTAAGATATCCTACGTGTATTTGTCTTACCTATTAGTAGTCTTTTAAAAACACTAAAAGGAAAAGTCGAAATGTAAACGAATAGTTTTTTATGATGAGAAAAATGTTTCAAATGAAAATGGTCTTCGTGCAAAAAAAATAAAAATAATAATTTTAGACATGAACTGCTCCGCGATTCTAGTCCGGTCAATAAAATACATGCATTTAAGTTAAAGCGTTGTATTGCCAGTATTTTCAGTTGTTAAGAGATAAATATGTAATGTATTGTGTAGCTCTTCTACATTAGTGCTTTCTGTGGGATATTGTTGTTCAGCCAGTCATAGTAACAGTAAGCACATATTTTTTTCAATTTTTTCATAACGCCCAAAAAAGTGACAACAAGGGACAGTTTTTTTCCGGGGAGGGGGCCGTGGTTTTTTTCAAGTTTGTATCCAAATACAGTAGGTGTTTGCTTGCCTAGTCTGTTAGCAAGCCCAAATTCAAGAGTCAAAGAAGAGTCACTATCCTTTTAAAGTCAGAAGGTAAACATAACCGCTGTATCAGCAGAGATTATCGTCAACACTGTCAACAGCATTAGCCTCTGATTAAAATGTGAAATTGTCAATGTGGGGGTGGGGAGTATTTGTGTTCGGGTATGTTGCGCGCCCCACTTGCGATATTAATTCAAGTTTAATTGGGTGGGTTGGTGATGAAAGCCTCCACCCACCAGTGATGATGCATTGGCTTGATTTCCACACTCTGGGCTCTGATTCTGCTCCTCGAAGCAAGCAGCTGGCAACCGCCAGCACAGCACTCACCAAGGGAGGCGGAAAAGGAGACGGCCGTCGGCGCCCCTAAAACAAGCCAATTTCCTCACTGCCGGATATGTGCTGTCAAAGCTCGATCGGCCACCAATCGTGATCGGCCAATTTCTGTGGGGGGAAAAAAAGTATGTTTGGTGTGGAAAAGTGGTTTCAATGCATCCCTAACCCTATGATCGTTGGAGTATTTTATTTTAATTGTGAACACAACAGCATGTCACAAACAAGAATGTGGGGAGAAATGCAAATATCTCCTCGAGATCTCAGTTCTGCAAACCCCAACCTCAACTACAGAATGCTGACGCTTAAATTGCTAATCTTTCTACTTTCTTGTTCCCCTTTCGTTATTTCCTTTTTCGTCGAAGGGTATCTCGTTCCCGGCTCTGTTTTGCAGCCGTAAGTTTTCAGTCGTCAATCCAAAAACAACGTTGCAAATCTCGCGATAGTCAAGTGTAATAAAGATGTGCCGCCGCTAATCTCGCGATACGTGAATCAAAACATAAGACGTCACCGAGCTCACCGAGCTCGTCGGCGTGACGCAGCCAAACTAGGGACTTTAATACTTGACACCCAGTTGACGCGAACGTGTCAAACGTGCCGCCGACACTAAAGATATCTCAACACTTGAATGATCATCAAGGTTCGCACATCACACGACTTACGCACAACGCATTCGCGTTTGTGTCTTGCGAATGTGCAGCTCACGCAAGCTATTTAGAGGAAAGTAAAACGACTGATTTGAGAGTTTGGAAAAGTCGTAGCGACGAGCCAGGAAGTCGTCATCCTCCCCCCGCAAGCCACTTCCTTCTTCCGCAAACAAGTCCGCGCGGCCCGTCCCCCTCCGGTCGATGGCTTGAGCAAGGCGAAGCTTCCAAGTGTCCGCTTTTGCTTTCATTTCTCGTCATTGATGTCTCACTGACCGTTGTCATGGCGGCCAACAGCCGCTGCCCCGCGGCCGAGGATCCCCCGGGCCTGGAGACGCAGCGGCGGGAGGTCGAATGTCTACTCCGGGACTGCGAGCTACGCGCCGGGGACAGTTGGTAAGACTCGTCCGCGCAGGCTAACCAGCCGCCGCCGTGAAAGCCCAGTTACGGCAGCCCTTTATCGCCGCCGATGCGGGTTTCAGGGGGCTTCTGGTAATTTGATTAGCGTTTTTATTTTTCGACCATTGAAAGCTCCGGCTGAGCAGTCTCGCGTCTGACTGACCGTCCGCGCAGGTTGCTAATGTTAGCGTGTGTGGAGTCCCCCCCCCCCCCCCCCCCCCCCCCCCCCCCACCCAG